CTAGTTTTCCAGAGGTGAGCGCTGTCTCAAAAGCCCTACAAGTTCTCTGCACTTGATATGAAGGCACAAGACTGACGTTTGTCTTCCGATTTGTCTTTTCAATCTCCAGAACAAGCTTGTGTTTTGTCAGGCAGCCTGTCACTACAGGGCTGGAACCTCAAAAGGAAGCAGCCCATAAAACTGATCTGACTGTGAACTTGCTTACATGGGCAAATTCAGAGCCAGGGTCCTATCCTCTCTCGTTAGATCCTCTCTCGTTAGGAAGGCATGGTCCCAGGCTGTTCCCCAGTCAGACTGATTTAGCACTGTGCCCTTGTCCTTAATGCAGAGAGTCATGTCACCCCGGATTGCGACCTTGTCAGAAATCAGGGCCTCTGGGCAGATCAGGACTCATTAGTTCTGTAAGGAGGCTCCGGGGAGGATCAGAAGACTCAGGAGGCAGGGCTGGTTGCTCAGTCAGACCCCAAAGTCAGACTAAGATCCAGCCTGACACCCTAAAAACAAAGGCAAGCTTTAACAAACACCCAATAACCTTTCCACTGTCCCTGAGGTGCAAAATTTACTCCACTAAAATCTGGAGTCTGGGTAATGTATTATGGACTAAGAGAAAGTTGCAATTAGAAATATTCACATTAACCTTGTAACTAAGCAACAGAATTAAAAATTAAAGTCCCTCTTCTTTGTCTTTGAAGCTATTGAAAGTGGAATAACTGTACACCCTTGCCTGAAAACAGAGCCAAGGCTGTCATCAAAGTGAACCTGTTCAGCAGCCTGTTTGCCAGGACAGTGCTCAGTGTGCACAGCTCACATACTGGTCAGCTCTTCAGTGCAAGAGACCGTCCTCTGTCTCAGACAGCCTCACCCATTGAGGTGTTTATAAAGAGAGCAATTGAATGGAAATGAATCTGTACAAACCTTCTCCCAGGTGATTCTGCTCTAATTCTTAGTTTATGGACAACAGGGATCTGTGTTGGAGCTGGGAAGGGAGAATAGAGGAGCGATTACAAATGAGAGAAATTGTGCACACCAATCATTGCACGTTTCTGCACAAAAGCGTGATTCACATCCACTTGAGCTCCAGCACGCGAATGTCAGAAAGACATCGTCCTCAGAAGCCTCCCGTCTGCGGTTTCCGTGGCTGATTCTCACAAGCGTCAAACACGATCCCCGGTGGTTTCCACCTGTGTCCGCTGCCTCCTGTTCCACTGCCGACTCGGGACCTCAGTGACACAGACTGAGTCAGGAGAGCCACAGCAGCCTGATCCTGGCAGCGACTGTCCCCGGCTATATATAGCAAAGGTCCACAGATTGCACTTGCAGCTCCAGGCTCCGTTCAGCTCTGCTTGCACTGCTGCGATCAGCATGGCTGCCCAGAGCCACATGTGGGCAACAGAGAGATGAGAAGCAAAATGGCAACCCCCTCCCTCCACGGATCACACCAAAAAAGATCAACGCCAGGAGCTCATCCTCCACAGTTCTCCCTTCCACTCCTCCCTCTGTCTGTGCTCCGGCTTCTTTGCCAAACACAAACGGGCCTCCTGCCTCTCCACCAAGTGGAGACACATCATCCTGCTCAGGCCCCAGCACAGAGCACAGAGAGAGAATTCAATCAACACAGCAGTCCCCCCCCACACTGCTCACTGTGTCCTTGATCCTCACACTCAGCTCACTTGCTGTTCCCCTATAAAAGCTGCATGCATGCATGGTTGTGGATGGGCAGTAACCTTCAGTTTGCACTGCAGTATTTGTAGGCAATTCTGTCCATTATGTTTCACTCCGCATTCCCCGTTTATGAATGTGTTTCTCAGCCCAAACACTATATCACAAACCCAAGGACACAATCACACCTTGATAACTCAACCTCGCTCTTGAATGAAGGGAAAGCCAATCTCTCCACCTTGGTAAAATTTGAACACTATCACACTCACGCAAGCTGAAATTGCTTGTACAGTAATATTGTAACCATCGTGTGTCACCTTGGATAAGGCTCAGCTAATTCAATTGCATAACAACTCCCGAGTCTCCTCCGCCCCACCCTTGTCAGCTCACCACCACAGGGAGTTTTGGAAGAGTCAGCAAGTGCCTGACCTTCTGCTTGATCGTTTTTTACCAGCACGCCAAGGTCACGACCTTAGTCTGGAACTCTCTGCACTCTTGTAAACGTGTTTTCAGATCTATAAAATGGCTTGCTTTGAGTCTGCTATAAAATGTTAATTGATCATATTTAATTATCAAATCTGGGTGGTCCGATCTGGCCCTACAAGGAGAAACACAGCAGCTTTTTAGGGTCCCAGCTTTTCACAGGTGTTCAATAACCCCCATTATCAGGACCTGAGGACAGATCTTGGGCCGGTCGCTCAGGCTGTGTCTGTCTGCGGATAAACTGTCACTCATGATGACAGAAATCCTACAGCTGGAAAGTCAGATACCATTTTCTTTGTTTTGAATTAGTTTCATGTAAGACAACTGGTAATGTTTCTAGCAATTTTTTGTATCGGCACAATTTAACTAACGACAGGCATGTGTGAAGGTCTATGATCCAGATGTGTGAGACCGTTCCTGGGTCGGCGAGGACTGGTGGTGGCTAAGCCTTGCTCTTTAATATGAAGGACAGTACAGAGTCTCCAGCTGCCTAAATGAGTTTTCTAAAATGGAAGACATAAATGACAATTTACAAACCAAACAGGCTTCTCTCGCAGGCTTACTCACACAACAAGACTCCGTCTTCCAGGCTTCCGGGCAGCGCGTGGGAACGACAAGTCCACGTCTCCTCTGGGAAACAACAAGTCCACAGCCCCCTCAGATCACACGGCAGGTCAGTATCCTGAGGGGCTTCAGCAGTGTACAGTACGGGCCCGTCCCTGCGGACGAGGAGCAGAAGCCCTAGACGTGCAGCTCCAGAGCCTGTCTGCTGTGGAAATGAGTCTTTTTTAAACCCTCCTGCTCCTGGGAAGAAGCACATAGGCCAGAGGTTTGCAGCTGTGCAATCGCAAAACATCTGGATATTACAGAAGGATATTGTAATTGGAAAGATAGTTTTCTGAATCCTTTTTCTGGTTTTCAGTATTCACTCCCTACAAAGCTTCCACTTTTTACTATCTGATCTTGCAATTACGACACTTCCATTACATAAGTATTTTCACCCTCTTTGTTAAGGAAACTAAAAATCCGTTCAGGTGCAAACAAGTAGATTGAAAGATCCCAAATGAGTGATTCAGTCTCTGTGTAAGCAAAGTTTAACCCCTGAGTAAAATGAGCCTCTAAATTCCTTCAGTTAGGAGTCAATCCCTTCGGTTTCCAACCTCTTCTGGGTCTCAAGGGAGCCAGATCCCAGCAAACGGGTGCAGGGCAGGGCACATCACAGGGCACCCAACTGGAAACCTCCACTTCAATTTTAAGCCACAACTCACAGTACTATGACGAACCAACCAAGAAGACCAAGGAGCTTTTGAAAAAGGTCAAGGACAAAGTGGTAGAGAAGCACAGATCAGGAAAAGGTTAATTACAGTATCTCCGAATACAGAAGAGTGGAAATGTCACACTACTGCAACTGTGAGCTTTCAGGGAGGGCTATGAGCTACCCAGGTCTCTGCTTAACCACTCCATTTCCAGAAGTTCCCTGTGCTTGAGATCATTACCGAAGCAGATCAAAACATTCTTAAAGTATACATGCACACATAGCTAACAACCGTTCCCTGACCTTGAACAAACCAGGCGTCCTTTTCTGGGACTGTGAGGATGTTTCGCTTGCCTTGGATCCACTATTTCTACTAACAGGAGCCCCGAGTTCAGAGGCTCCAGCCACAGTCTTGTCATTTCCTGGAAAAGCAAGCCTGGGAAATGTCCAGACCGACTATAAACAGCCTCGTTCAGCTCGATTCTTCGTTTACTTCCACTGATTGGACTTGGCTGACGGTTATGGGTGGAGAAAAAAAAAGCCGAGTTGAAAAACAGGCGGAGATTTTATTTAGACTTGTACAGCACGTCAGAAACCTGAAACAATACAAAATAGTAAAAACAACCACCTCCCAACATTTCTACAAACTTTGATTTCTTATATGTATATAAAAACAGACTATCACACTGCATTGGAAACCTTCTCACAGTTCAGGGTGAGGGCCTATATAAGGAATTAGCTAGAGAAAACAGGTAGGACTCTCACTGGACAGCAATCTGAACCACTTCAGATTTCATCAGCTGTACAAACCACTGATGAAGCTGAGACTCAATTTCAAACATCCAAAACGTGAACTCCAAGCAGGGAAAATCTCGGGTTAGCTGGCTCATGCATTACTTGAAATGGATCCAAGGGCTGTGAATCAGGAGTCTTACTGGCTGCCCTAATCAGCTCCCATGATACTGAAGGCTGAAGTCACTGTCTGGTGCTGGAAAGGAGACAGAATACTGTCACACTGCCACCATGAACAGACTGGAACTATAGGAAAATCATGAAAGCTTTAACATTGGTCTAACTACAAGCTGAAGGTTTATCCAATTTCTTTGAAAAGTGACTTAAGAATTACAGTCAGCCTGGAACTGACTCTTTCAATTCTTATTCAATACTGAAAACACATCTCAGCCGATGTGGGCCCGATGTTTTTCAGTGCTGATCATAACTGGTAAGGAATCTGAGAAATGCATTTTACTGACAAGATGTTCAGTATGTTTCTGCTAAACAAATTCAGAGAAATCTACAGAAAGCTGGGAAGCGTCAGGGCGCGATCCGTGAGGAGGCGGGAGCGGTCACGTCAGCGGCCGCAGCCCACAGCAGAAAGTGAGGAGCTGCCGGCAGGCCCAGCACACCCTCGCAGGACGTCCTGCGTGACGGCTGGCGGAGGTGAGCTCTCGGCCACGGGACGGGGCGCACGTGTGCTCCTCCGGCGCTCGGGGCAGAAAGGGTCCCGACGCCCCGAGCCGTTACATGGGATAGTTGAGCACCACATCCTGCTTGGCCAGCTCCAGCAACATGGGGTCGTCGAAGAACTTGCTGATGCTGACGTCCTCGCTCAGGCCCTGCGGAGAGAGGAGCAGCCGTCACCTCGAGGAGCCGCGCCACGCCTCCCGAACAATCAGACCCTCCTCTGTGTAACCAGCACTCTACCCCCCGAGCAAACGGCCACAAACGAGCTCCACAAAATTCATTTCACACAGAGGGCGCCATTGCTTACATCTACAGACACATATACTGAGATCACAGTGGTCTGCAGGAGGAGGGGCGGTCTCTCCTATCACTCACCTTGCGCCGGCGGGTCTTGATCATGAATTCGCGGGCCAGGTGAGGGGCAGGCTGGGGCTCCAGGGGCCTGATCACAATGCTTTTATCCAAGGGGTCACCGGGCACAATCTGAGACAGAGAAAAACACAGATTACTGGTAACAGAGCTGTGCACAGATGGCAGACAGCTCCATGCCCAGTGTCAAAGTAACCTGTCCCTCAGAGGACATGAAAACATGTTCTTGGCAACAAGGTGAAAAATAACCTTTACAGCAGCACATGAACTTTATCTGCTCGTCAGTCAAACACTGATCCACAAGACCATGACATTTCTTTCACAGCCTACCAGCAGATTCAGAGATTTTTTCTCACTTCTGTAGGGTGTTTCAGATTTTAAACCCCTCTTGTAAGATTTGCCCAGAAGCCATTTGTCCAGGGATCCATATCTTCATAGTAAAGAGCAGCAGATTTTAAAGATGCCAAGCAAGAAAAGGGCATTTCGTGCCGCAAACATTTTGTAACAAGTAATTTTGTGTGAATTGGTTCTGTCGTAGCGATTTGGTAAAAAACAACAATACCTATCAGCGAATCATACCAGCCTTCCAAATCAGATGCTCATGATAATCATAAATAAAGATGAATTGCAGTTCTAGTCAGACATGTCAATGACAGAAGGCTGTGCAAGCTGAGTGGACAGTGGCCTGGGCTCAGCGGGCGAGAGCAGCCGCCCGACTGTCTTCTCACTCAAGCACAGGGAAAACAGCACCACTGTGCTCGGAGCTCTGCTTCCCGCCACTACAGGAAAGAGTGGGGAAACCTTTTGCAAATCTTCAACCATTGTTACAAACGGCCCCAGCGCAACACGGGAGGGCAAAGGCGATGCTGGGAGGAACTGGAGCCGGCAGCACCCAGAAGTGGCCCCAGGCAGAGAAGCTTGCTCCAGGAGCAGGAAAACGCCGACACAGCGGAGATATTAATATACCCAGCAGGAGTCGCTTATCCAGCATCACGTCAATTCAGTCCGCTCTGGACCCGAGGCATGATCCCGCGGGTCAGCAGCCTGCGCACCTCCCCCTCGAGCACACAGGCATGTCCCAACAGAGGGCAGAACGCAAACCCACCGTGCTCTCACACACCCACCAAGGGTGAGAGCCACACTCAAAACTGGGGATCCTCGCACCTCTGCCCAGCACCTCCTGGTCTCTAGAGATGCCTCTGTTTTTTATATTTAGAAGAGCTAGTCGCGTGCTCTTCAGGCTTTGGCTCGTGGTTATGATCCCTGCCAACTGGAGGAGAGGGGTGTACCTCACAGACAGCACTGCGGGCACCACAGGGGTGCCGATGCCCGAGAGAGCCCTGCTGTCTAATCCAAACACTTCTGTTGCGTCACCACTTGGAATCAGTCAGTTGGCCAGTGACACGGACCAGACTTGAACCCATGATCACAGAGCCTAACCTGCACTCAGGCTAGTGAGCACCTTTCCCTGGGGGAGGCCCAGAAGGCATGTTTAGAGTAAATGATCAATTTCATTGCAGGTCTGAATGAAGCAATTTGCCTAAATTACACTGACAGTGTAACAATGTCCACATTTGAACACATGCGGTAGTTTTTAGATGTCCAAATGGCTTTATGCCAGCAAACATACACGAAGGTCTAGCATTTCATCAAACATAAATCCGGGTGCAAACTGTTGTCACAATGTGCAGGCAGCTGAGCAGTGCTTCATTACAATTTGAGAAGCAGGTTCTCTGGTAGAGAATGAGGAGGCCTATCCGCGCCCCCCGGCCGCATCCCCCAGGTGCCCTACCTGCCAGTGGTGGAAGACGGACAGCGCGAAGGCCTGGCCCTGGGTGTGGGTGCGCAGGTCCGTCTCGAAGCCGAAGGAGTCGATGGCTGGGATGAAGGCCTTGATGGTGTAGAGGGGGGAGCCGGGGATCGGCGCGTCCTGGGTCACGTGACCTCTGCGCAGCCACACACCGAGAAAGGAAACAGCGTCAGACACACGAGAACAAGACATCACCAAGCCTGCGCAGTCTCGCACGCCTGGCCAAAGACAGTGCAGAGCAGGAGAAACACAACGCTTTTACAGTCTGCTTCTGGCTTGCAAAGAAGAGATAAACAGGTATCTTATAAGGTGCCTTTGCTGTCAAGACATCTCAAAGTGTTGTACAATGGAGGTAACATCAACAGTACACAAGCAGAACATGTTAAAAATAAATATGAGCACTTCTGCATTAAATCTTAGGAAGCTTTTTAAAACAGACTGGGAGGACAGTACAGTCTTGGAGAAAGTATTTCACAGGCTAGGCCGATTTCTGTAGGCTGTATTTCTGTATAGCCCAGCGTATTGTGGCATGTCATGGGAACACAGTAAAGCAGAATTTAAAGAGCTGTCGGAATGGAACATAACAGCTCAGCAAATCTTTACGATAGGAAGGAGCCTGATTGTTTAGTGTTTTGTAGGTCAGGAGAAGGACTTTGAAGACAATCCTATATGACACCAGAAGCTGATGCAGGAATCTTAAAGATATTCATGCCTAAACCTCAGCCTCATACACAGCTGACTCGAACACTCGTAATCACAGGGGCTCACAGTTTAAGCAGCTGAACACGCCGAAACCAGACAGAACCGACAGAAACGTCAGCAAGCGGTACAGTAGCCCCACATAGTTTCTCTGATTCTAGGACAGAACAGTGCAGGACTGTCCAGTCTTGGTACTGGAGGCCCAGCATCCATGGCAGGATGGGGACAGGACAGCCCTGAAATGGGCAGCACATGGACAAAACTTCATAGGTGAAGGAAGAACACTTTTGTAATATTTATCATTCTCAAACGTTGAACTAGGGTAAGGAAGAACTTTATTTTGTTCCTGGGTAGCTAACCTAACCTTCAAGGCACCGATGACCAGGGTAAAGATATCCAAGAAGTGCATTTTTATATGTATTCTCAGGCTGCTGCCATGCCTGTTGATGAACAATAAGGACAGTGTGCCCCCCCTATGCACGAGTTGTAATAGAACATTGCTGTCAATACACGTGTTTTCTCAAGTGGAACACAATCAAGAATATAAGCCAGTGCTATACAGTACAGTACGGCCAGGTCATCTACAGTTTTGTGATGGGGCTCAAGTGCTGCTGTTACCCTGACAGGACTCTGTTATTTACACCATGAAATGCGAAGTTGTGCTTCGGACTGAAGGAAGGTGATGGACAATGACGTTCATACAGAACAGCCCAGAGCCCAGATAGCACAAGACCAAGGAGTGTGAATCAGCTTGTAGGTTGAAATGCACATTCAGATAAATCCAATCACAAGTGTCCCTTCCTTTTTCCAATCACAGCAGAAATAGACACGTCGGTTCTCTGCCCAAACCAGAGGAAGGTTACTGAATGACTGGCGGGGAACGCGCTACATTAAATTAGCAACTACCTCCATAGTGGGAGAGGTGAAAACAGTTTCCTATTGCAAATGATTACCTCCTGCGGGCCAGGACGGTGTACACAGCGGACACACAGTCGGCTGGGGCCTGCACCTCCACAAAGTAGTAGGGCTCCATCAGTCGAGGGGTAGCCTGGGAGGAGAGAGAAGATGGAGCCGGCTGGATCAGATATCGGCAAATTATAATTACACAGCCCTGCTACAGTGAAACAACCAGCCTCAACAAACAGAATAAAACATCAAGCACAAACCAGAGCAGCAGCAGCACCTTCAGTGCTGGACTGGTGCGGTACTTCCTGCATCAAACAGTCACCAAGAAGACTGGGGAACAAAACTCTGGCAGAAACCTGCACAATAACACCTTTTCCGCAGAGGTATACATTATCACACTGCAGATCAACGCCATTTTTAATTTCAATGTGCCGTGTTCAAGGTGCACAATATCAAATTGTGCATACAATGCAATTAATTTTCTTTAAAAATGTCTTGGCAATAGATCTTGGATAAAACCACGATCGACATTAATATCAACAGTGGTCCCCATCATTCTGTAAACCTGAAGTTTCCTAATTGAAGAGCTCAACAATAAGGAGAGGGCATGCTGGGCAGGCGCGGGAGGGAAGGGCATGCTGGGCAGCGCTGACAGAAGGCTGACGGAGACGAGGAGCGCTTGCTGGCTGTACCATGAGGAAGGCCGAGTACACCACCCGGCGCGCCGTGGGGATGATCTGCCCTCCTCCCCGGTGCAGCGGCTCCTGAGCGATCACCGCGTCCAGGATCTTGAACTTCACGTTGCGAATGGCTGAGGAAGACAACAACAGGAGGTGAAGGCCAGCAGATCTGAGGAATAACAAGGTTTTAGGGAGATCACTTGCTTTTTACTGAAGTCTCGATATTGGCTTGACAACTGAACCAACAACCGCAAAGAACTGTGTGCACTGTGACACCCGAGTCCATACAGGCTGCAAGGGGGAGTCTGTCCTGCATGCCTGGCACAACCACACGGTCTGTAGAGGAGACAAAGCAGCAGACAGACAGGGCAGCAGAGGGACCGTACTCACGCTCATCACACAACGGCCCCTCCCTGGTGCCCCACTGGAAGCCCTGGACGATGCTGTCCTTCACTGAGCCCAGCAAGGCCTTGTCCACCTGCACAGAGACAAACACAGGCATGCACTCTTTTGCAGCAGCAGTATAAAATGGAGAAAACCAAACGCTGTCAAAAGACGTTCGTGAACTCTATTCACATGCAATAAGACTCTTGGAAAAACATTGTGACTGAGAGGTATTAATACCAAAGCAAGAAAGGGTATAAGTGCAGAACGCCTTTCAGACACCTGTTTACAAACTGATTTGAGAAGCTCTTCCTGCCACTTTAACAAAGTTCCATAAATCCCTTCCTCTGAGTTTTGAGTCCCTGTGATTGAGAACTTAGCACCAGTAGCAGGATTCTAGGGCCTTTCATGTGCAGACAACAGCGGAGTTCACTATTTTAGATCAATACAGGTTCTGAGCAATGACACAGCTGTAATGCAGCCCTGTTGAGGTAAAGTTTCCTCACCTCTGATGGGAGAGTATCATCTACCAGGATGTTAGGTCCTGTGGCATCAGGCCCAAATGCCCAGATGGAACGGGCAGCCAGCAGATCCCAGTCATACTTGGTCTGGAAGAACTCTCCAAGCTTCTTTCTGGAGAAAATACACCAGAACATGTCAGCAGGACAGCAGGACAGACTTACTCTCCTGATCGCTCAGGTAAGCCTATCGCATGACCACATACGGTCACATGACTCATGATAGATATGTTTTAATAGGTATTCATAATGGTGGTCGGCAATAGGCAGGCTCTTCAGACAGGTCTCAAGGAAAGAGCAGAACTGATGTTGACTTCCAGAAAATGTTATATAGACATTATAAAGTCAAAACAGCATGCTGGAGATTAGTTCTGTTCTACTCCTGCTAAAAGCAAAATACACTGTTATCATCTACTTGAATGAAATACCCAGCACACAACAGAGACAAGACAAACACTGCAGCACGGGGCAGCATGGCTTGGTTTATTGTTTGCTTTTGACAAATTTATGGCAAAAACTCATATGTGAGGCTTTGCAAAGGATTCCTATGTGTTCAGCGAGAGTGCTCACTGTTGAAACTGACGGACCTGAACACGAAGCAACAAAGATACCACATTTTTATTCCAGTTACCTGTTCCAGGAGATCTGTACAACTTCATTCTCAATGTCTTCTGCCAACCCCTTCTCCAGGGGTTCTGCAATCATTGTGATCTTGTTCCTAGGGGGTGGAAAATAAAACAATAAAACGGTTTTAAAACTTATTCTCTGCTCAACAGTCTTGTAGCAGAAGGCACAGTGTACATCTTTCACTCCCAGGTGATTTCTTCTCCCAAACTTTGAACTATTAAAAGAAACAGTTCTCATCTCAAGCTGCACAGTTTTTGTGGTTATTTATGTGGTTTCTGAAGTATTTTCTTAAACAGCTTCATCCTGCTGCTACAAAAACCATTTCGAATTTCTCCTTATGAGAGGTAGAGTTAGCAGGGTGTGAGCAGGACCCGGACGTGAAAGAACACAATAACAAAATATTCAAGCAGTTAAAATCAACATTATTTTAAGAAACAGTCATTAGTCTAAAAGCAGTTAAAACCCCTATAATTACTTAAGCAGGTTATTGTACCAAAGAGCTTGTGGCTACAGTGGGTCTAAATGATGAGAGTAAGATGCTCACTTTTTGTTTGGCGTTTCAGCAAAACACTTCAGGGACGATGTCTCCACCACAGTCTCACAGAAGGTCACTACAGGGTCGGCCACCTGTTTGACAGGACAGTAATAAAACAGTGCACTCCCAGCCTCCATCACCTAATACAGGTCAGTCCTGCCCAGCTGCCCCACAGGCCCTCTTTTTTAACCCCAAAGCCACAGCGACTTCCACTCTGACTTCAGAGCAAGACATCTCACAGCCTGGCCAACCCACCCCACTGACTCCGCTTAAGAACAGAAACCCCACCTAGTCTCCACGCAAGCTCTCCGCCGACCCACTGCCCCCATCTGCCGACTACACCCACACACCGTTTCTTCAGACCAGTACCGCTCAGCCCAGCGTGTGCGCTTCCTCTGTCAGGACTGTAGGGGGCACTTGCCTTGATGTCAATCTCAGAGTACATCTTGCGCAGGTCATGCATCACGCAGTCCAGGTACAGCTCCCCCGTGCCCAGGATCACGTGCTCCCCGGACTCCTCCACCTGTGGGACGCCAAGAGGTCACACAGCTGCACGGACCCACAGGAGGCGCGGGACATTTCACTGCTCCTCCAGCTTTCACAACAGGCACTGAGCACAGCAGGATGCTGCGTCTGCAGGCACAGCCCCGACTACAAGAGCCAGACAGAACCTGCTGTCACCAGTTATTCTTTACAATACTGGAGGCGCCAACAGCTTAAGCTTCTGCCTTACTGGAGAACGGACTCCTGTTGGAAGACCCAGCTGCAGACGTGCTTTCCTGACACACCCAGCTGCCAGAAGCCAGTTACATTCTGACAGATGGAGCGGCCACAGACCAGGCACCTCTGGTCCCAGTACTTCATTAAAACAAACTGTTTGTGTCTGGGAGTGCAGCAGGAATGGAGCCTGCACGCTGCACGGAGGGCCAGAGCTCTGCAGAGCAGCGGGTACCTTGGTGGTGAGCGAGGGGTAGCTTTTGTTGACCTTCCTCAGGCCATCCAGCATTTTGGGCAGCTCAGAGGGATTGACGGGCTCCACGGCAATTTTAATCACAGAGGCGGTGTTGAACTTCAGCGGCCTGAAGATCTGAGCCTGAGGGAAGAGCGAGAGCAGATTAAAGAGGGACCTTCGACAGCCCCAGTGCAGGCCTCCATGGAGAAGTCTGATGTAGGCAAGAGCAGGGAATCACAGCTGCTAAAGGGCACCAAGTTAATTTAAGACAGGAGATGCTGAGATTGAAAAAATAATCTATGAATAAAATTTAGATGAACATCTGACGTAAAAAAAGAATGTGGCATGAATGTGGGTGAGCAATAAAAAAAAGGAAAAAATATTAGAATAAATTGTTAAAAGCAGAGCATTTTAAAGCACTTGCAAGAAGCCACATGGAAAACGTGTCGACAATATTAGTCACACAATATTAGGGTGAGAGAGAGTGTGGTGTGTGGAGGGTGAGAGAGGCGTCAGCGGAGTGGTCTCACATCCTCATTGCCGCGGGGCTCCGTGATGGTGGCAGTCTTGACGATGGGCTGGTCGCAGCCCTCGATCAGCAGCCAGTTCCCCGCTGGCACCCGATTGACCTCTATCTGGTACCTGGGCAGGGAGAGAGGGCACACAGCTGGAGGAGTCGGCTCCTGACTTCGACTTCTTTAAACAACTGGATCCTGTAATCAATGAATCCAGTTTTGCAGAACACTTGAAAGACATGCATGTTGGCGGCACAGTGGTGGGCACTGCTGCCTCACAGCTCCAGGGCTCTTGGGTTCGACCCCAGAGCCATGTAAGGCAGGACAGGCTGGAGTCCCAGCTGTGCCTTTCTAGTTGCGGCTCTGGAGCATCACCTGGCCACAGAGATCCAGAGTCGCCCTACGGTGCAGATCTGAGAGTCCTCCTCGTCCTCCAGGGTGTAGTTCTCCCCCAGGACCTTCACCGGCTGCCCCGCGTGGATGGTACCACTAAGCACCCTCCCAAAGGCGTGGAACTGGACCCCGTCCTCCGTGCTGTACATCTTCGTGGTGTGACACATGAGAGGGCCCTGCCGACACAGCACAGACACCCTGTCACACACTGCGTCCCAGCGCCCCTCACAGCACAGACACCCTGTCACACACTGC